CTCTCTCTCTCTCTCTCTCTCTCTCTCTCTCTCTCTCTCTCTCTCTCTCTCTCTCTCTCTCTCTCTCTCTCTCTCTCTCTCTCTCTCCCCTCCCTGCATCGCCCGTTTTTTTTTCGTTTGTTACTTATCATTTTCGTTGACCTTCTTTTTTTTTTTTTTTTTGCCCATTTTTTGGGAATACCGGTCGTTCGTCGGTGGGTACCCCAGCCGACGCGGCGCGTTAACGGCTGTGTCGACTTCTTCAAACTGGGCGAGGTACTGGTGGTTTAACGGCCGCCTCTCACAACCCTACCGTATATCACGCTCAGATAAGGAGACCCACTGGCTGCCCCCATCTTCCTCTTCATAATGGAGGACATTGCTTCCTTTCTAAGGAAAGACCCATCGATCGAAAGGCTAGTGGAGGACAGACAACACCCGATCAGCCTACCCACCACCATTCTTTTCGCAGATGACTTGACGGTTCTAATACGAGCTTCGGATTCCTCGTTTGAAGCACTCACACGAGCAATGCAAGCATTCCAAATAGAGTTAGAAACGAATATGAACTGGCCAAAAACAATTGGTTGGTGGCTCACAGACCCACAAATTGACACTCAACAAAGCAACCCAGAAGGAATGAGCTGCTCCTGCAGCAACGAACCACTCAATTTTTTAGGCATCCAGGTGTCTAAGCTAGGCCCCAACCACGCAATGGCACCAGCAATAATGAACAGGATGATAGCCAAACAGCGTAGCTCGTCTAGCTCTACACTATCACATTCGGAAGAGCCCTCATCCTGATGTGTCAATCTTTTCAATATTGTGGTATGCAGTGACGATCTGGAGCCCTCCGAAACCGCTGAGAAGCCATCTTAGGGGCACTGCACGTAAGAAAAGGAAAAACAAAAAAATGAGAGAGCTACTTTTTTTTTTTTCCCCATAAAAGTCCAGGGTGTTGTAGAGGTCGGTTTCTGGACCCACGACAGGTACCTATCTACAGTCAGCAACCAATTTATGGGACCCAGACCATCCTATCTTGGAGGATCCCCCTCAGACAGCCCCTACTGCAGGTTCCCCAACGATTTCCTCCACCAGAGTCTGTCTTCTAACACCCCTCCTACCGGGATCCCTTAAGACAATCCCCTACTGTAGGTTCCTCACCGATATCCTCCAGCAGAGCTTGTCCCAAGCCAACCCTGCCCCCAAACGGGACCCCATCCCACCTCAGGTCCTTGCCCCCCCCAAAGCAGAGCCTAAGGTAACCAACACACATGAGCAGTCTAACCACAAACCCGTACCTGCATCCTCATTAGACTGCTAACTGTATCAGGCCTCATAGGCCAGGACCCAACATACAACACCATGGGCAGTCCCCTGGGTGGTGCGCAGGCAGTGTCTGTAATAGCTTACCATGTGTCAGCCCAAGGGGTGTGTCCAGCCGTGCGTCATTCTAATACCCTGCCGGTGTCCATGCGCGAGGCTGCGAACTTGAACCCGCAACCTCATGCCACAATGCGCATTTCCAACCGGTGCCATAACCACTGAGCTACATCAACTGGACAAAATGAGAGAGCTACTGTAGTCTTAGTAGTAAGTTAGTAACTGATAACTGCCGGAACACAGACCTGAATTCGAATCCAGAATATATTGCTGGCCTGCTCATGTCTCATCAGCACTCTGATGAACGTCTCGCCAAAGAAATCGGACCCTTGGTAATTCTCTGCTGGGGGCCCTCTGGAAAAGAGACTAGAACGGATGAGGACTAGGATGTGGCCCCAAATTTTTTTTTTGTGCACTTGCAATTTTCAGAAGGGAGGGGCACATTTGGCTGCCACAGCCTGCCCTTTTTGAATTTTTTAACTGACCCTATTTTTCGCACTTGCGCTGCATCACGTGCGCTTGCGCTATGCGCCACTCGTGCACAACTTGTGCGCACGTGAAGCGCCGCATGTATGGTACACGCCTAACATTATTGTATCAGCTGATTTCTCTATCGAAAGGGGTACACGACTTACATTATTGTATCAGCTGATTTGTCAGGGGCCTGTTATCAACAGTTCAGTGTGTGTACCATTCAGCCGCGGGCAGGTTTCTTGCTCCCAGCACTTTGACAAATTTGCTACTAAGGCTTAGTTTGGCCACCAGTATCAGACAGTTTTCGGCCTTTGTTCCAGTTCCGATTGCTGTTCTTCAGGCCCATATGCAAGATCAAGACCAGTTAGTTCCCAACGCCTCTTGGAACCATTGGTTTCCTGACTACCACTCCGTTTTCCCTTCTGGAGCTCAAGGTCACGTTAGGATCCTTGACCTAGTTAGCAATCGTCTGTCACGTGTATATGGTGCCTTCTCCCTCCCTCACTTCCCAGTGCAGGACCTTGACACAGACACATACGGCTGAGGTTCCCATTCAAAAAAAAAAAAAAAAAAAAGCAGCAAAGAAGGGAACCCTACAGATTGGGGAACTGATTTGTACCTCTGTTTGCTGGTTGATGCTTGGTCTCTCACTGCACACAAAGGTCACAGACACCAACAAAAAGGTAAAAACGGAAGACAGAGATCAACAATCGTGACAAAGTCTCCCACATAATTTCCCATTTTCCCCTGTTTTGAGTACTGTGCCACATTCTTTTCTTGTACCATGGTGTTTTTAGACTGCCACTGCCTCTTCCTGACCAGAAATACTGGTCAGGATGAAGACCAGATTCATTCAATGCCCCCGCGTTGTACTCGTGTAACGCAATCCATTGCTTGTTTCTGCCGCCCACTAGGGGGGCAGTGTCAAATGGAGACAGAACAGAGGAAGCTGCACAGAATCAAATGTGCATAGAGAAACAGGACGAATTTCTGCTGAAACTCGCTGTCTCCTGGATTGCCGACACGCCGAGAGCTCATGGGGCCGATGCAAAAGGGTTTGGAACAGTATATCCTCTGGTGAGTTTCCAACTAACCACGTCTATCTGCCAACAGCAATGGACAGAGAGGGTCTGATATCAGATGAAGACAGAGTACTCAGAAAATTACTTAGGAAAACCACCTTCTGGGTGATTTGGAGAGCCAGGTGTAGTGAAACAGAACAGGAATCAAGGGTAGAGACAATCATACACTAAAACTTAGTAAAAAGGATTGATAGAGAGAAGGACAACCACAGGAGTTTGGAGTTAAAGTTGTCCACAGCAAGAATAGAGCCTCAAGGTATGAGTCAATAGCCGAGTAGTTTGTCAATACATAATACGATCGAACCTAATTTCAACAGGCTAACTTAGGCAGGGGCTAGGTACATCCTTTCAGAAGGAAGTAATCAATGCCATCCACTCGGATCTCTCAACCATAATAGGGAGAAGCATTGGAGCGTATATTCCATACTTGCGGCACACCGGCACTGTGCGCTGCATGGTGCGCCGTGCGCGGACCCAGGGGCGCACCGGCGCGAGCCGCGCATCTGGGTGCGCAGTGCGCGCTGCGCATGTCTGGCGTGCTGCGTGCATGTGCGCAATGTATATTTCCATGTTCTAGCAGTAGATTCATTTGATTTTGCTCTCTCTCTCTCTCTCTCTCTCTCTCTCTCTCTCTCTCTCTCTCTCTCTCTCTCTCTCTCTCTCTC